ATTTCCTTCCTCGCCTTGACAGTGTAGGTTTTGCCCTCATAGACAAACTCCACTGCTGTCGCCCTCTTTTCGTCGCCCTCCCCACTCAAGAGGATCCTGGTGGCTGTGGAGTTGAGCATGACATGAAAGTGGGCGTCGTCTTTATGTGGCCGCACAAACGCCTTGGCCAAACTCATTCGAACGCCATTCCTGCAGTTAAGATATTTTTGCGTTTATTTGAGAATGTCATTGTTTTCGCGAAAAAGTACTTTCGTCAAGTTGTTTATTCTGCTGAGAAGAGCACTAAAACTAATTCAATTGGTTCTGTTTTGCAATGCCATTCTCAAGTAGGTGATTCATGGAAAGTTTGGAGAGCAAACACTATTGTTGCTTTCCAGCAGCTTTATCTCACTAATTTATAGTGGAAATTAAGTGTTTACAGCAGAACACTTAACTGGGTGTTTCGCTCACCGATTATACGCCTGAATCCGGGAAAAGCCCACAAGATCAGCCCCATTCAGATCTGGAACTACTGGGAAACCCGTTTGATCGGCTGCTACTAAAAGGTCATCAGCCAGAGGAATATTATCGGGATATTGCTCGATGGTGACTGGCCCTTCAGTGCCATGAAACTCATCGGAAACCAAACTTCCCACCTGCCGATTGGTTTCGGACTTTTTGAAATATTTCAGTAGCTCCTCGTAGCTCCACTCAGTGTTTCCTGCTTCCACCTAAACTGCTGCGTTAATCCCTCTCCTGCGCAACTTGGGGAACATTTACCCATTTATCAAAGTCTGCAGGCGTTCCTCTCACATACACCATGCCATTGATCGAGCTGGTTCCACCTAAAACTCTCCCACTGGACCATGAGCAGTACCCATCCGAAGACAGGCATGCGCCAGTCTCCTGCTCAGCAGTGAAGTTCCAATCTAGAATGGTTTTGGTGAAGGCAGGTAGGGCCGGAACCTAAAGAAAAGTTGCACCGATTGGCTTCAGGGTAGTTAATGGGTGTGTTTACCTGGGCAGCAGGAGGTTCATCCGTTCCAGCCTCCAGCAGCAAGGTGTTCCATTGGGAAACTTCGGCCAATCTGCCTGCAATCGTCGCACCTCCACTACCACCACCGATTACAATGAAGTCGTATTCTTCGGCTGGTTGAGTTTTGGGTACCACGCGATTGCAGGGGTCCGAGATGTTGCAAGCGTATCTAGAATTGTATGTAACAGGAACCTCCAGAAACGTAACCACTATATATATTTATGAATACAGCGTGTTGAGAAAAATCGAAAATAACGAGTACTAACTAAAGTTTATCATTCTGCATTAGAAATGTTGCAAGCGTATCTGGAATTGCGGGTAGATTCGAGAAATAGTTGGCTACAAAGCAGCAGGTTGCTGGGGGTTGGAAAACCCCCGAAACTTAACCACTACTTACGTCTTGAATATGCAAAATAAAATCGAGTTTAGCATGACTGCCTGGCTACTTGAAATTTCTAATCAGCTCTACTTAACAAACTTAAGTGGATACTTCCAAAAAAATGCCTCCCTTATCGCTTGATGAAGATGCGATTGAAGTGGAAACTGATTCAATTACGCCAAATGCAATCTTAATATGCCTCCACTTATCTGGYTCTGATTGCAATTCCAGTGCAGTTTTTTTTGTTGATAAAGCTAAATAGAATAWTTTCTTTTAGACAGAATATCGATGTGAGAGAGACAGAAATTCGAGTCGTTTTGACCCAGAAAGCGAAATTTSWMTATCAGATACTTAGGTGCAAGATTCTGCCAAAATTTCATGTTTTCCGTCCCGTTTTTGCTCATTTCTCGGAAGCGAAATGGGCAAAAACCCTCATTTTTACATCATTCGAAAGAGAACTCAATGGCCCTTTAAGAAAGTGAACGATCGATAAGGAAATGTTGGCAGTTTTCTCAAAAAAGTCTTGGTTTCAGAAAGTTTTAAATTTGCGTGTTTTTTGGTTGAGATGCAAAACCGACTCAAACATAGCGCTGCTTTTTTTTAAGTTTCTCAAGAACCATTTGAGCCACAGAGTTCGTTTTGGCATCGTTGGATAGAGAATTGAAAACGCGATTCAGAAATAACAACATGAGTGAAGAAATTCGAGTAATTTTGACCCAGAAAGCGAAAATTGAATGGCAGACACTTAGGTGCAAAGATAATGCCAAAATTTCATGTTTTCCGTCCCGTTTTTGCTCATTTTTCGGAAGCGAAACGGGAAAAAGCGCTCATTTTTACATCAGTCGAAAGAAAACTAAATGGCCCTTTAAGCAAGTGAACCATCGATAAATAAACGTTGGCAGTTTCCTCGAAAAGTCTTGATTGAGTTGCAAAATCGACTCAAACATCACGCTGCTTTTTTCCGCTATTACCAAATCGCTCAAAACTCCTAACGTATTTCAGGCGTCAAACTTAAGTAATTTAGCGGTTGACGTGAAAACGTGCACTAAGCATGCATTTAAGTATGAATCCTTTCGAATTTTACCCAATAAAATTCCCAGTAAAATTCTCTCTAAATAACCATCAGGATTTAGTAATCAACAATTTTTCCCGTCCATTTAATGTACTTATGCATAGAGCATAGTGGGAGCGTGTCCATTAGTCAGAATGGCAATGGGCCGAAAAGTCGCACAACTTCAGCAGCACCATCGACATTAGATTTTCCAGAAAAATGACAACGAAATGCATTCGATTGCATCCTACCTTATAAGCAGATCCACCAAGCTCATAAAGGCCACATACTGATCTCCAGAGCATTGATCAGCCACAGAAAGGCCCACAAAAGGGGCTTCACAGCCGCAAGCTTCAAACGACATTCTGACTGAAACTAGCAGCGCCAGCCAATGGAACTTAAATAGAAAATCAGATGCAATTTTTGAAAAAATTCGAGTATTTTATTATGTTCAAATCTACGCTTAAGTATCGATCAACAGCAGGTTTTCTACGTGATATCAATGAACTGTTATCAGCATCAGAACGACGTGGTGGCTTCAGTAAAGTCGTCAAAAAAATGCTGTTTTCTCAGAAAATCTTTAAGCAGTGACGGATTAGAGCCCAAAGTTCTGATGTGTGAATAATTGTCCTTTAAACAGCAGCTGTGTTTTGTGACTTGACAAAGGCATTCGATTGTGTGATTCTACGAAAGATTCTCTGGCAACTGAAGAAGATTTTTTGAAGAAATTCGTCTTTTCTTTGGACGAAAGTCTTTCTTAACATTTAATGCACGTTGTTTCAAATTTCTTCAGGGATTTTTCGACGCATTTTAAATCTTATACTGGTACAATTTTTTAAATCACCGCAAACATTTGTGAATTAATTGCGCTACAGCGAAGAAACGCTGCATTTGGACGAAGCGGAGCTGACTGAATCGAAGAAAAAAGTATTTGATAACGAAATAATGTTCAAAATCATCATCACATGTTTATTGTGCAGGCTTTTTTATCAATTTATTTATACGAAACGAAAAAAAAACGATTTTTTAATTGATAAGCGAATATTCGCATGAAAATGCGTGAGAGGTTCGAATGACTTCATCAGATTCGCTGAGTGATTTGATTGAAGTATTCAAGTTTTGTGGATTGATTTATAGCAGAAGGTTTTGATGATACATTTTTGCACAGAAACGAGTCCTAAAAATTCTTAAATTTAGTTTTGAAAGGACGTTTTTTTAAAACGCAAAATTATGGATGTTTTTCTTGATTAATAGAAATGTTTGCATCTTTGCTTTGCGGAATCAATAATGCGCGCATAATTTTGAGAACTTACATATCGGGAAAGAGAATAATTGAAATTTGATGAGGTTTTTTCACCAGCAAAACTTCCATCAAGACGAAGAAAATTTCCAAATATATAAAATATTTTTCGGTGTTTTCCAATGTTGCCCATTTGTTTACTGAAACTATTAACTTTAGCTTTCTTTATGGAAACGTTTCAAACCAGTTTTGTTTCTCTTCATATTCTAGGATTGTGGACGGGAAATAAAATTTCATGTGGATACAACTAGCTTTAATTCGGTAGAAGAAAATTCAACAAAAAAATAAGCTTAATGCTGCTGATCCAGATACATTTCCCTGATAAATTGATTGGCGCGTTCAGCGATAGCAACCACTATAGCCTGAGTGTTTCCAGAAATGCGTGGCACCATCGCTGAGGCATCAGCTATCCGCAGGTTGGCAACCCCATGGACCTGGAGGTTCTGGTTAACGCAAGCGCCTAATTCTGGATCAGGACCCATGGTGCAAGTGGCGCACTGATGTCCCACAATGTGCGTTTGGTAGCGAATGGCGCACTCCCAAAACTCATCCGAATCCACTCTGGAAATGTCGCAATTTTTAGCCCAAAGCAATCGGCGAAGTTTCGCAAAAAGCCTCCTACTCGAACTGTTGGGAACAGCTTCCATAGTCCATCCAAACCTGGGAGGCGTTGTATTTCTCCTTCAAAACGGGCGCCTCGATGAACTTCTGCATCAACCGGATGCCGGAGGTGATGATTTTAACATCCTCCGGCGCACTCAGGTAGTTGCCCACTATTCTAGGCGGATCGGCAGGATTGTTGGAGGCCAAACCCACATAGCTGCCGAAAAACATTGTCACCTAAACCCTCACTCAGATCCATTCAAGCCTACCCAGTGCTCTGTGGGTGCAGCAAAGTGACTGAAATCAGCAACTTCCGATTATCTGTTGGATCATCTGGATCCGCAAGCAATCCAGGTTCCGCGGAATAGGCGCAGGTGTTTTTCCAACCACTCAAATACAAAGCCAAGTCTGGATCGTCTGGTTCTGCATATGCACTGGCCAGTCGGGCGGATATCTGCAACAGAATCAACTGGATTTTGATCCGGGTGAAGATCATTGTTTCCCACCTGGCTGACTCCATTGCCACTCAAATGCCCAGTTTGGTTCGTTAAGTACTCCTCCAGGGTCTCAGCGTTGAGGTCCACCAAGTTGGGGGCATTGAGGGAAACATGCAAGCCAAACGAGATGTGGTTGGATAAGCCTGCAGAAGGTTGAGT